TAAATTACAAAAAAAAACTAAACCTCGCTGGGCTTTTTTCATGCTTAATTGGTTATATCAACTAATTTGAAATAGTAAATTGGCCACCGTAACGAATAAAAAAGCTGACGTTTCGAGCGTTAGCCTTTCGTCAGAGCGAATGGAGGAATTGTGGGTTGTATGTGGTTTTATATGCAGAAAGCGCAGCTACGCCATTGGTGGGAACATGGCAACGAGAAAAACACGAATAAATTAGTGGAATGAAAAGCGTTCGTTGATACCTGTGGGATTAAGAGTGCCGATTTGAAAGATTAACTTTTGTTCAAGAGTTTTGCGGTTTTCCGTGTTGCGTAAATGTAAGGAAAGACCGCAGATAGCCATATGTTGTTTAGAATGATTAGGTAAATTAAAGTGTCTAGCGACTGGTTTAGATGCGTCCTTGTCATTCCTTTCCACGTCGCGAAGGTGTTCTCGGAATCGGTCACCTAGTCGTCTTCCTGTTTCGCCGATGTATAACTTTTTGCAATAAGTGCAAGTTATGCAATAGATAACGTTGGCGGAGGTGCACTTGAAGTGATCGGTGATCTTAATGGATCGCATGGGTCCCGATATTTTCTCAGCGTTGTGAATGAAGGGACAAGTTTTGCATCGTGCGCGAGCGCATTTAAAAGTGCCGGGTTGGTCATTAGTTTGGAATGAACTTCTGACCAAAAAATTGCCTATGTTTTTGTCGCGTTTGAATGAAATAAGTGGAGGTTGCGAAAAGAGAGTGCCGGTCTCTGGATCGTTTTAGTAATTTAAAGTTTTTTAAGAATAATGCATATAACTGTGTGGTTGTGAGGGTGAAACGTGAGAGTGAATGGAATACGGTCGGAATTTTCCTTCGAAACGTCAGCTTCTTTATTTGTTACGGTAGCCAATTTACAATTTCAACTGAGTCATATAAGCAAATTACCTTGTTACCCCCACCGACGCAGCACCACAGTTTCTTTAGAAACTTTTAGCCTTTATTCATTTGGTCAAGGGTGGCGACTGAGAATTTACCACACACGGTCTACCACCATTTCAAGCTTCAATTTATTCGTTTACAATAAAATGGTTCGAAAAAATTCAGAGAATAAATAACTGAAGTTTGTCTTGAATACGGAAAAGGTAAGCATAGCTTTCAGTTCGAAGCGAAGGTCAACAAGGAAAACTTACATACCTGTATATCTCGCAGGAAATCTTCGTTTTGGCAGTTCTGAGGTTTTGCAGGGTTTTTGCCGGCTAACTTTAATATATCACTTTCCGGTAGCTTGTGGAGGCTTGCACCTTTTCCGTTTGAATCTTAGTATGTATTTTCACATTCAACCACACGACAGTTCACCTCATTTCAACTATTAGAGGTAATAGAAATTGTTTTCAAAAAAAAAAGTCAATCATGTCAACAAGGACAAAGCGCCGAACAAGTTTGACTATTGGTACGTCACAATGACGTAAATAAATATCCAAGATGGCGTTTTTCTAACCACGAAAGTGGTAAAAATGGGTAACTTCGAAGCGCTCTTGTCGCTAATACAAAGCAGACTGGACAAAATGGCAGTTATTTTCGAACTCCTGAGGAAAAAGTCTTCCAATCGAGATAAAATTTTTCTAGACCGTACTTTCTCTTTAATTTCTGGCAATAAAATACTAAGAGTGGATGCCAGATAGAAAAAGTGGGGTGGAAAAAAGCTCTTAAAAGTTGACTGAAAACTTTTATGTAAAATGACGTGTGGTTTATAACCTGCCAAAACATCGTGGCTTAGGTCTAAGGGTAAAATTGCAGCTCTGAGAGTAAGCGTCGAGTTAAATAATTCTCAGCTTTAATCTGTGGGGGTTTTTCTCTAAGAAATTTGTCAAATCAGTGTAAGAAAAGGTTACAAATCGATTTCCGTAATAAAGAGCTAATTCGAAAAATTCTCTGTAAGGGTTTCAACTAAAGATGCAAAAGAAAATGGAAAAGCACGGTTCAAGAGATTAAAATAGGCTCAAAATTTCAACGAATAATCCGAAAGCTTTTTTTATTACTTTGTTCAAATAACATGTGACTACAACGTATCAGTTTATAATGGCTACAAGTTACTTCAGTGATCGGTGAGTACCGGTAAACAGAACTAACTAGGCTCTTACTTTATGTTGCCCAGTCACAATTCAAAGTCTCGCTTCCAACATCAGGCTTGGTAGCTCAGTTAAGCACCTGACTACTATCTGGGGGCACAGGTTTGAATACCGCTGTAGCCCGGTTCTTTTGAGGCTTCTCTTCGGCAATCCCTTTAGTGGGGAGTTTAAGAAATGAGGACGGCGACGCCGTACACAACCTCGGTTAAAAAATGAACTTATATTTTACCAACGAGTCTCGCGATACTCTAAAGTCGTTAAGTTTGTTTCTCACCATCAAAATTTTTTCGAAACTGGACCTGGAACGCAGCATTAACTTAGAGATAGAAATGTAAAAAAAAAAATATAGTCATCGTTGTTCACGTTCTCCAGATAACGCAAAGTTTGATCATTTCACGTCGTTGGTTTGCAGAGGACGCAAAGAAATTTACCAAAATTTGTAACACAAGTACACAGCCATTGTTTTGCTCATTAAATCTTGTTTGATGACTTTTCTGTTGTCGTTGCCACCGAGGGTTTCTTAAACTCCCTAATTACAGCTAATAATTACCGCAACATCAAACGGCTGAACTGAACACCACTTTTGTTAATTTTGCTACAGCCCTTCCAACAACGCCGGAAAAAGAAAAGCTGTTCATTGCCACTGTAAATTAATATCACTTTGGAAACGAAACGGCTGAAAGCAGACAGTAAGTATTTGATTTGTTGTCATTGCTCGCAAACCTCTGTCATCTTAAATCATAATGTTTTCATTTTTAAATTCTTCTTCTTCTTCTTCCGTGATTTTTCGGGTTCAGATTCATGCCCACTTTTATCCTTAATGGGCGTGTTGGAACCCACATTCTTCACCTCTATGGAACTATCTTGATGTGACATGGAACGTGGAAGAGTTTCCTCAAGCACAGCAGATCCCGGGCTTCCTGAGTCACTGGATTTGTGTTTCCTCTTTTTCTTATTTGACTTCAATAAAGAATCTTCACTGTTTCCCTGTTCCTCGAGAACCTCTGTCTTTCGTTTCCTCGGCGATTGTACTGAATACTGCTCGCCATTTGCTATTCTCTCTGCCTTTGGTTCAAATCCAAACTGGGTGAGAACAACTTTATGTCCATCCTTATTCTTTTTCTTACTTGGAGAATAGTATTTCTTATTTTTATCACTATCTTCACTTAGTGTTTCTGCCTTTACAGCTTCCCGTTTATCCTTTATATGTTTTGGTGATTCAAGAACAATCTCTTCGGTAATCTCGTTTCGCTCTCTATTCGTCTTTTTCTTCGCAGATGAACTTGATACTACGTCGTCTGCGACGTTGCTCGATGTTCGCTTTGTTTTCTCTGTTAAATTAAAAAAAAGGTAAACTGTGAACAAAAACAGTTGCTTCAATACAGACGCCAGAAGACACATCTTTCCAGTTTTATGTTGTAAATCGAACGAATTTCGAAGTCTTTCAGTAGTTCAGAATTCAGAAGACTACAAACGAACTCACACTGAAAAAATAATCGATGAAAATCTGATGAAATTCTACTTTTTGAAGCAAAAGTATTTGAATTGTTTGTTGGGTCATTAATTCCAAGATTTAGGATTGCAGACATAAGAAATAACTAACTGACAGACGCTGAGGCATACTGTCACGTGCCGATCAATTCAAAGCTTGAACACTCCCCTGCCCCTCCCCCTGGGCAACCCAAGCGCATTTGACAGTTGTCCGTGTCCAAATGGCGACCAAATACTGACTTGGTGAACTTTTCTTAGGAGATCCTAGGACTTCTTGGTTGGTGGACAGAGGAACAACCCCAGACTGAATGACACTCATCTGTCCACTGAATGTTCCGGCTAAAAAATAACAAGGATTTCCTGAATTAGCAGTGCAAATGACCAAATACTGTCATCGCTCTGATAGTTCCCCAGAGGCTTGAATATACCCTCGTCTTTCAAACAGGGCCTCGTTCAGGGGAAGAAGCTTAGAGGAGAGCCAAAAACTTTCAGGGTCCGAAAAAGGTGTCATCAACGTGCTGGTAGGTCAAAACCCTACCAGCATTTAAATAGAAACTGTTTTAAAAAAAGGCTTTTAAACTCATTGCTATCATTTTCAAGTCTAATTCAACAACTCATTTTAGCCCAAATAAATGACGAAAAAAACACTTTTTTGGAGTTTATTGGGGAAGGAGCAAAATGGGCATTTGTTATTGGGCTGTATGACAGAAAATATGTTTTGTTGTCTTGTAAGTCTTATCATTTTAATCCTTAGGAGTGACTGAAATCTCATTTCTCTTTACAATCTCACCCTAGGATCAAACATTTAGATCAGGAGAATAAAGGAAATGATCACCAACTAAAGAAGCTCTAACTTGATTGTTAACAAATTCTCCTTGTCAGCACCTCGGGAAATGGATAGAGAACAGTATGGAGAATATGCATCCTGATACAGTGGAACCTCAATTTAATGAAGTGCCAAGGGACTGGGGAAATTGGTTTGTTATATCGAAGGTTTGTTATTTTAAGGTTCTGTGGTGTACATTTTGCTGTAACTTTAGCCAGGCTGAAACTGAAGTATTGTTCGTTATACCGAGGACTTCATTATATAGAGGTTCGTCAAATTGAGGTTCCACTGTTAGCAGGTGTAAAACATTAAATGGCATCACTGTTACCTGAACAAAAGGATTTCTGCTTTGAGGATGGTAGCAAGACAGTAAAAGAAGACAGCTGAGAAAACACAAATGAAAGCAGTTCAGCAAACATTTGAAATCAATAAATTAGAACAAGCAGAACACTATTGCTCCCAACTTGCAGTACAATTTGAAAAGTGGCACAGTAAGTGTTCATGATTACCTCAGCAGTGCTTCCTGCTCTTGAATGCATTTCATACCTTTTTTCTCTACCCTGTGAAAGTATAAACAGACTGTCAACACAGATTTTACTTGGTAAATACAAGTCATTGTAGAACTCGCTTAGTTGGACCTATCAGACTGGTTTCCACATATATAGTTAACAACTCTGTGTCTCATCACATGCAGTGAAGGAAGTTGTGTTCTGAAGAAATGTATGTTACAGTTACATGACTTGTATGTATATTTTGGCAGTCATGCTGAGGAAAGCAACTCTTTGAAAGCATGAGGACAGTAACATCCACAATGTAAATTGCTTGCTACTGCATTGGAGAATGAGAATCCTAAGACAAACAACAGACCTATTAAAGTAAATTTGGTTTTATCAACTGAGTGGATATTGTAAATTGGCTACTGTAAGGAGTTTCAAAGCGGACGTTTTGAGGGTTAGCCCTTCGTCAGACCAAATGGTGAAGGGCTAACACTTGAAAAGTAATAATAATAATAATAATAATAATAATAATAATAATAATAACACCTTTATTTAGACACGATAATGTTTAAAGTTGAACAGCTTGTGGGGTCGTGTGTAAATCCAAATTAACTCTAAATTAAATAAATTTAAATGATGATGGTTTTTGAGGAGAGGGGAAAACCGGAGTACCCGGAGAAAAACCTCTTGAAGCAGAGTAGAGAACCAACAAACTCAGTCCACTTATGACACCGGGTCCGGGAAGCGAACCCGGGACACATTGGTGGAAGGCGAGTGCTCTCACCACTACGCCAACCCTGCTCCCCAAAAGTCAGCTTTGAAACTCTTTATGGTTGTCAATTTACATCATAAACTCAGCTATTAAAACCAAAATTACCATGTTAAACTCCCTCACCAATGCAGCACCACAGTTTCTGGCTTTAGAAACTTACCCCCTTTGTTAAACTGACCAAATATCCTACAGTTCCCAACACAACAATAGCTACTACACTATGCAATCATGAAATTAATTAAGAGCTGCCTCTTTTTTCTGACAGTCACTACATGAACGATAACATCAACAGTTGATCATGTACATGTACCCTGATCATTGTGATCATCATAATGGGAGAGGTCCCTAAGGAGGGCTGTTGTCATCATCATGGGAGAGGTTCCTAAGGAGGGCTGTTGTCTATACTAGCGACTGACATGTCAATAATCTTAGCAGAAGTCAACATCAACGTCACTGGACCCTGAGTTCAAACCATTAACTGTATTGGGAACATGACAATATAACATGGTACAAAATAAACAAAGCTTACTGTAACCAACTAATTAATCGTAATACTACATTAACCGATTTAGTAATTTTTAATTTACTGAATATCTTACAACAAGCACACCTTGTAAGTACCTGTGTGATATCAGGAGATAAAGCTTGTGACCCATTCAAAATAACGGTCTGGCCTGTTAGACTTTCCAAGTTAAACTGTGAAAAGAAAAAAAGGCAGGTCAGCACACACATGCAGCTGTCATCAGCGGGTTGAAGAATTTGTTCCCTATCAGATTTGTCAATCTAACTACTTAATTGGATCATGAATATAACAGTGATCTTTGTAGAAATGAACACTACTTAAGCAGTAGTGAATAAAGCCTAAAAAAATTCAGGCCTGTATGTAAATTGAACCCATAACCTCTGCAGTACTGGTGCAGTCTTCAAACAACTGAGCTAACGAGCCAACTGGGAGGAGGTCATTATGTTGGTTCATAAGAGACCCGTGAAGTAATGAATCAATGACTGAGAATATATGAATATCATATATGAGAACTTTGTATCAACAAATGGATAATTTATTACCGTTAGTAGTATTACTGTGAAGATCGCTCCAATATTTGTTTTTTTAATCCACAGTTCACATAAATTATAATATATTCATACATGTGAATTCACAGTCATTAATTGGAACAGTTTCATCTAATAATCTGGGTCTGCTTAAGTTATTTTTAATTCCGCTCAGTGATTGGTCCAGAAAACTTGTCCTACTTTGTCAAACAATCAAGTTCAACTCCAAAACCAGGTAACTTGTATCATTGGTTGGTTGTGTTTCCCTGTGCTGAATGCAGTTTGCTTGTTTTTGCATTGGGTTGCCATTAACTCCTTGTAATATTTCATTCTAATTGGCTGTTGCAATTACTTTGGTTTTGGTTTCATGACACTCAGTGGGAGCATATTTTGGGGCAGAAAATTGAGTTGGATACTTACATCATAGGGTACTCTCATGAGCCAGAGGGAAGAGTGGTCATGATCAGATACAACATCTTCCAGCCCTGGACATTTGTTGGAATCATCTAAATTCACAGCTTCAAAGCCGACAGGACACTGAGATCTGCAGGTGGGAAATAATGGTGATAATTAGGGCTTTTTACCAAAAGATACAGATGATCAGCTGAAATGAAATCACTACTTCCGCACTAAACCAGATCGGGCTAGTAACCTCAAGTTCTACATCTACATCTACATTTATTAGTCTTGCAAAGGGGGGCCATCACGCAACGACAAGCTGAGCTTGCTTCTATTGCTGCAGAATTCATTAAAAAGATTCAACCAATTATAGCCAATTATTACGGTAATTACAATCATCGTATCAGAGAAGTAGTAAACATTTTACATGTATTTATCAACCAACACTTTCCAGGTACCGTTGTTCCACAAAGATCCTACAGATTAAGTACCCGATCACAAGCATATCACACTCAATACACTCTAGCCAGCATACTGAGAAGTACGGCTTTACTCCCGATCTTAAAGGTAATAGTACTTCCATGAGCTAGGTGAGCTGTATATACATGTATCTATAACTGAACGAAAACTTTAGTATCCAACAGACATAATTATGAATTTTTTTTAGCTTACCTCAAGTCTTTCTGAGAAGACGGCATTCTATTTTTCCTATCCCTAAAAAAATTTCGAGAGCACTAGTTTGGCGTGCAAGATCAGAGCATCGTAAACAATTTCAAATTTTTAACACACGATCTCCTAGTTTCGAAGATTCGAGGCCATGTGGAATCATTGCGACCGTTCAGAAACAGCGGCCCGAAATCAAGTGCTACTTTATGTAGTGTGAATTAAATATACCCCCGAACTCCAGACTACTCTCGGCCGAACGTCCAACTTCTCTACGTGACGTGGCTTTTACACTATTTGGCGCTATATTCGCGTGACCCGTGTGTGACTCGATTTTCACCTTTTCGTTGCATTATAAAAAGCTTTAACACTGATATTTCATTCTCCCTCTGCAAAATGTTCCAAGGACTAAAAGGCCGAGCGAGCGATCTTTGTCATGGACGAATCGGTTTACGCAGAGTGCTCGTTCGCGCTCTTTCTTCAAATGGCGTTATTTCGGGTATGAAAAGAGAAAATCACTCAATGTGGTGCTTCGAAAGGAATAGATGGAAATGTCTTGTGCATTTTCAGAAAAGATACCTGCAAGACATAAGAGCAAAGGTAAAAAATTCGCTCAATACATTGTCAATGACTTACTTTTTGTTTGTTTGTTTTTCTCTCCTTTTGTTGGGGGAGGGCAGGGTGGGGAGGCCGGTGTTTTCTAAATTAGTTAAGGAGGGGGAGGGGGCCTGGGTTAATGGATGAAGTTCTAATCAAATGTATCTAGTCTAAGGTTATCTCATTCAGAAATGCTAACCATCTGGATCTAAGATAAAGTGGCCTGGTAACTGGTCCAGATGTTTTGGTTTATGATTTTGTTGTTGGAAGAGCTTGGATTGCTCTTACAATAATAATTTTTAAAACAGATAAACACATACTTTATTCCAATCTTTTGACATAATACTGAAAATGTACCCAACTTCTTTGGACCAAAGTTGTAGTTGCTTCATGCTACTGTAACAAGGATGTTGCTTTGGCATGTGAAAGGTCACACTTTGGGCTTTGCATATGTCACCAAAACTAACCTATGGAATAATTAACAAATAGATTCCATGTTGCTTTGTGTCTGTTCAGTAACAGATCCCAGATGACATTAAAATGTGGCAAATAAGGTGCAGCAGAGTGCGTCACTGTTTACTTACCACATTTTGATGTCTTTAGTTATCTATTTCTAAACAGACCCAGGGCAACATAGAATCTATTTGTTTTAAATGATAAAAAAGAAGAAAAAAATAGTGATGATGTCCTCTACATGTCTGCCCCTCCAACAGATCTAAAGTAAGTACCAATCAAATTCCCTGGAATGATAAACCAGCCTATCTTGTACAATTTAACACTGCATACAGCCTCACACCAGCATCTTGGCACTTACAAAAAACAAAACCTGTCCCTTTTAACCCTTCAGCTCTGAAGATCTGATTGTTGATTCTCCCCTCTACCTGTTATACATTTTCTTGTAAATTTGTCATGAGAATTTGGTGTTAGATCAAGAGAACAACTTCTACCTGATAAGTTTGAACATTCTCATTACCTGTTTGCTGGATAATGTATGGATATTAAATGAGAGAAGTTACATGTTAATCACTTGTGGGAGTTAAAAGGTCAACCAATTTCAATTTTCATTGTTGCTCCAGAAAGGTGACAATATTATCCTCATGGGAAGTCCTGGAGCAGGAAAAACTTCTGTTGGAAGAATCCTTGGGAGATATTTGCAAAGAGAAGTTATCGACATTGATGATGATGTTCTTGAGAAGGTGTGGAGAATGACAGTTGCGGAAAAGGTAAAGTAAAATATTGCACTTTAAAATATATGTATATGTGGACAATCCTCGCAGTAAACCACTATTTTTTCAGACCTGATTTTCACTATTGCTTAAATAGTGCTTTACTGCGAGGATCGTGCACAGAAAGGTTTCATAACCGCAGTTCAGATAATTATATGTATTTCATATATTCGTTGAGTTTAAAATATGTTCACTGCTGGGCCATATTTTGTTATTTACATTCCCAAGTATGTCTTTTTTCACGTGAAAATTGAGTGTTAACCTTTTTTTATGTCTAGTTGTCACAAGTGGGCTCTGATGGTTTTGTTGAAGTAGAGGGGCAAGCTTTGTTACAGTTCTTTCCCAGCAAAGCTGTTGTGTCTTTGAGTGGATCCAATCCAATGCACACAGCAGCCATGGATCACACCAGATCACTCGGCACTGTTGTCTACTTAGATGTGGCAGATGAAGAGATTTTGAATCGGCTGGCTGCTATGAAAGTAAACAGGATTGTTGGGCAGAACGAAGGTAAGAGATGAATTCAGGGGGGTGATGAAAAGAAAGTGTGATATGAACAACGGAGTAGAGTTTGATTTGATATCAAATCCTCAGAGCAAAAATTGTAAAATACGGCTGGCCAACAGAGCAGAGAAATGATGCATTGATCTTAGAAGTGAAAAGGAAAAGTGCAATTTCAAGTTCATCAGGCGAACAGTGGCAGCTTCTTCTAAATGAATGTTATGTGAAGTTATGAAATTAAAAAAAGGGAAAAAATGAACACATTTTAGGTAGGATCTTTTGGACTGGACATTATTTGCTGCTGG